TTTAAAAATAACTCAGCKTGAGCCACAATTGGGAGCATTCACAGAGGAAATTCTTCAGCCATTTAAAACAAAGTGAAGGGAGGGAAAGAAAACCCTCCTTAAAGTGCTTTTACTTATCCGTGAAGAGCGAGTGTGTCCCAGCCGTGTTTCCGCTATTGGGAGAACACAGAGGCTCTGCTGCTGCTCCTGTTTTATTCCAGCATTCCAGGATTTTGGGTGCAGTTGGGGAATCTGGGCTGGACACTCTGGGATGTTGTACCTCTTGTGGATGAGCACCTCTGGACAGGTGGGACCGGCACTCACTGGTGGGGTCGATGATCTTTGTGCTTGGTGCGAAAAAGGCAAGAAAATGTTTTTCTTTCTGTTTGTACTGAAGATCTCACCAGAAAGGGTCACTTTAGGCAAAATGAAACGTGGTCATGTGTTGAAGGATGTGTGGGATTTAGGGCACCCACTCTKCAGGCAGAGAAGAGGGTGCTGTGGGCTCTGAGGTTTTCATCACCCCAAAGCTGGCTTACCTATAACTTTTTATTTTCCTGACTTGTKCTGGGAAGTTATAGCCCAGCACAGAAGCCCTGAACTATTTTGCAGATCTGCTTTGGAAGCTTGTTTCTTTCCTTATGTGTGTTCTTGGGTTTATTTTCCTTCTGGTGTGGAAATAATTATCTTGCTTGTTTCTTATGTTCTGGCTCCGACTAAGAAGAGGAATGCACTTAGATTTTTTTATGTTGTGGTGGTGGTTTTTTTTTTTTTTTTTTTTTTTTTTTTTTTTTTTTTTTTTTTGTTTTTTTTTTTTTTTTTTTTTTTTTTTTTTTTTTTTTTTTTTTCCCAGTACAGTTTCTGCTGTTAAAATATCCCGGCCAGCAGTTGCTGCCCACGTAGAGCACAGAAATGTGTGTTTAGTGGTTGCAAGACATGCTCGTTCTGGGCGTGCCTGGTTGTTTTGTTCAGTGCCAGTCTCTGGCTGTGTCATTGGCCATCATTTATCATTGCCATCAAGCTGGGGAGATATCATTTACATTAGTAATTAGTGCTTTGTGCAGGCCAGAATTAGACCCACTGGCTCTTGATTTTTCTCTTGTGTTTTGTGCAGSATTGAGGTCTCAGTGTGAGGAGGGRWTGACACTGRGCTGCAGAATGTTGCCAGAGAYACCTGATARTGAAGGAGCTGATGKTTGGGGTATTTTCTGGGTTTTATTTGTGATTGGAAATGMATTTCAGCAGAAAATACCTCTTCCRTGCCTCAGTTTCCCCACCAAAAAATGAGTGCTGGATGATTTACCTGAGTGTGTTCATTGAAGGAATTACTGCCCTCCCTCTTACTGCCTCCTGGAGCAGCTGTGATGTGCACAGGGATGTGTGAGATGCAAAGGACAAGACTCAGCCCTGCAGTCGCTGAATTCTGTCACACCATTGTGTGATTTGGTGTTGCTTGAAATTTTATAGGTCATGTGCACCGTTAGAGTGATTTCCATGCCTGTGTGTGGAGAATCTGCTGTGCCCACTTTCATTTATATCCATGTGACTGATCCAGGGAAATATGTTAAGAATATAACTGCTTTTAATTTCCTGTTTTTTTAAGCCGCTGGTGTCTAAATATATCTAATAAAAATGCAGACTGGGGCTCTTTAATGAGGCGTAAGTCATTCCTGGCTCTCTTTTTTATAAGACAAAACCACCTCACACACTGGCTTCTTTTTGTATGGACTTCTGCTTTGCATTTCTACACATTCATCATAGCATGAAGCCTCTGACAAAAGGAAATAAGAAAAGACTGGTTAAGAGACCGTTTTGCTGAGCATAAACCTGAACCTTTGGAATGGGGAAACCTTGGGCTGCAGCGAGTGAAGTCATGGGCTGTGCGTGAGGGTATGTGATGACAGGAAGGAAAAATAAAAATTACTGTGCTGAGTAGGTTTAGTGTAGTTGTGAATTGCACAAAGAAAAAGAGGAGCTGTTAGGAAGGGAAATTATTTCCAGTTTTGTTCCTTACCTTTGCAAAACGACCAAATTCAAGTGATGGAAGTTTTTTGCCACACGAAAGAAAAAATTTAATTATGCTGTCATCCACTTGTTGGCTAAGGCAGTGGTTGAGGCTGTGAGCAGSAGCATTGGGGTGAAGGCWGGGGACACGTGGCTCTCCTGTCTCRGATTTTGGAGGTTTTGGGAGGAAATGGCTTTGTTGCAGTCACAGCTCAGCATTGCTGTGCTGCAAAGGGCCCGTGGTTGTGGTCTGACAGCTGAAGTCAGAGCGTGGCTGTGAAATCAGACTCTGCTCACACATGGTTGTGGCTGAGCGTGAAATCCTCAGTGGTTCTGGCAGTGACAGCTCTGGGCCTTGCACAGCAGGTCCAGGGTGAGGAGAAAAAGGAGATGTGTTTGTTTTGGAACAGTTTCTTCATCAGAGAGTTTTTGTTTTTCCCATAGTTCAGTGACAAACTCATGGACTGATCCTGTCGGTGTGGTGACAAGCCCGAGGCTGGGTTCCAATCTTCCTTTGCTAGAGAAGACCTGAGACTTGCCTCACCAAATTTGTGGGGGAAGGGAAGGAGGAGAAGGGAGCATTAGCAACTCCAAATTGTGATCCAGGACTGAAATCCAGCAGCTTTGTGGGGCAAGAAAAGTAGGAGAAGGGAGCATTAGCAACTGCAAGTTGTAATCCAGGACTGAAATGCAGCAGTTTTGTGGGGTAAGGGAAGTAGGAGAAGGGAGCATTAGCAACTGCAAGTTGTGATCCAGGACTGAAATCCAGCAGTTTTGTGTGTAGAACAATAGATCTGTGAGACAGAACACATGAAAAAGAAGTTGATGAGTTTTCTGAAGTGCCAGCCCACGTGAAAAGTTTCTGAGAGAAGGTAGTCAGGGCTGTGGTTTTTAATTTGATGACCTCTTTCCACAGGCAGTCAAACTTTCAGATTTAGCAAGGCCTTGTGTAACAGGAGGTGCTTTATTTACAGGCTGCACATTCACTAGTAGACACCGGAGCACAATGATAAATTATTTAATTATAGATACCCAAAGAAGCGAACCAGGCGCCTGCTGGGCCGTGTTGTCCCTCTGGTTTCCCACTTTGTGYGTTCTCCTGCTGGCTAATTCCCAAAATCCAGCTTCCTGCAGAAGTGGTCTCTCAGTTATTAATGATAATTAGCGAGGTTCAGCTCGGTGAGTATTCCTGCAGCATTCACCACACACTCAGCTCCTCACCCGTGTAACGAGAATGTTCACAGCCCTGTTGTGAATTAGCAGCTCCCTCCAAGGGCTCTGCTCCTCTTAGGAATGGAAGTTTGGTGTGGGGCTGCCTGTGCTTGGTAGAGCAGACTCTTGCCATGGTTGGGTTGTCAGCTTTTTGCTCTTTGTTTTAATCTCAGYGTCTCCTCTGTGCATTCTCCTTGCTAAGCAGCACAGTTGCTAACATTAATTCTTTTCAGATTTGTTTTTGTCAGTGCTGACAAAATCCTGACTGGATCTGTGTTCTGGGTAGGGGTCGGATTTAAGTGTTCTTTAAAAAGCTGTCATGCTACAGGAGCATCATTTGTGTCTCTGCCTCCTAATAACCATCCTGTAGTAACACCTTCCTCCTTGATTTGTACTAACAACTCCATTCCAAGAAGAAATTTCCTCCTAAAAATGTGGAARTGCTGTCCTTGCCAAATCCAACTGGGGCTTTATTATCGCTCTGGTTTAATATCCTTGCTGATGGAATGCTCCTGTTGTGGGGGAAACATCTCTGGGAGGTGATTCTCTCTGAAAAAGAACATTCCCCTCCTTTTTTTTTTAATACTGAAAGCAATAGAAGGGAAGAAGCTCATCAATAATGTGACTTTAAATGAGAACCAAATTATACTTTAATTTTATATGTGTTCAGGATAGAAAAGCAGTGTGAGTTTGGGGGGTCTTTCCAGAAGAGGAGCTCTGTTCTTAAATATCTGTGCTTTGTCCCTGGCTTTATGTGTTCAGTATCMTCCAGAAAACTCTTGGTTTTGATTGTAATTTGCATTTAGATTGGCTGCCTGAAGGGAGTCTCTTGCAAGGGGAACCAGGGCTGTGTGGCTCCAGTCTCTTGCAGATCTGGCTGAAAGTAATAGCATTTACATAAAAACCATTAGCTYTGTTATTGATAAACATGAAAGGCATTTCATTTAATTTTTTGATGAGGAGCTTTTAATATAAGCATACAATAGCACTGAGGTAGTAACATTCCTGCCCCCCATCCCTCCATCCTGACCTCTTGTTTTAAGGGCAAGTTTTGATTGGGATTTTGTTGGTGGAGAGATGGAAAGTTATTTCTATTCCAATTTAATGGAGTAGCCAGTTGTCTTGCTACATTGTAGGGAATTATTTAATGCWCATTTGAAGAGGTGTCTCTATTAATTGAACGGGGATTTAATGTCTCCCTGAAGCGCAGTTGGTCTGTGYGTGATGTATACTAACACACAGGGCTGGCAATTCTATGGATAATCTTTTCCTTAATCAAAATGGGTTTAAGCAGAACTTCGGCGGCGCCTCATTAAGAGGATAAAGTGTGTTGAAACAACAAATCTGTTAAAGKGAACTTCTTTGGTGCACTCCAGATCACAGCCCGTGTAACCCTTCAGCACCACGTCTGCATAAACATTTGTTCCCCTGCCTGTGTAATGGTGCATTGGGGATCAGGACGTGTCACAAAGASCTGTGATTCATTGTCTCTGGAGTTACTGGCTGTGGGAAGCTGCTGCTGCTGCTCTCATGTATAAATACCTTGCTTTTCTCCTGGGCTGGATCAGCTCTGACCTGCAGAGCCTCCAGAGGCAGCCRGTGCTGTGACTGTTTTCAAGTGTCWCAGCATTTGCTTGAGAGACCTTGCTGAGAGCTTTGCAGGTGCTTTGAGCTCTTGACCTCTGGGCTGGGGAGGTGTGCGTGTCTGTTTTGCATTGATTACCTGGCCTATTTCTTGACCTCTAAAATTTTTAAAATTCTTTTTTGGTCACTTTATATTTACAGCTCCTTTCCCTCTCTAACAGGCTCCAGACAGATGAGTAGAGAGCTGGCTGCAGAAGAGGGACAGATTCCATTTTGCCAGTTGATCACCACACACAGTGAGTATCTTCATATTTCAAAAATAAAACTTTCAGCAGTGCCTGATGTTGGCCTCAAATTGCCTCCACTGGGGCACAGCATTAAGTCTGCCTGCTTGGACAGCGTTCTCCTAAAAATACAAATTTCCTTGGCTTAACTCTTGTTTTGGGAGAAGTGTGCTCCAGCTCTTTTTATCTGAAATGGTAAATTGTGTCCTCATCCCATTTCCAGCAGTGGCAGAGCAGAGAACTGCTGCAGTTACATCTGGTACCTGCTCAGGGCTGTGGGGAATCAGCACTAAAGGTGTCACCCAAGGCTTCCTGTGGAGGGTCAGGAGTGGAAATTCTCCCCAGGGTCAGGAGTGGAAATTCTCTTCCAGCCTCGCTGAGGGTTTTGGAACTGAGTGAGGAGGGTGGATGAGGGACCTGCCATGGCACTTGCTGGGCACTCATAAAAGAGTGCTGTGAAATCAGCCCAATGAGGCTTGGCTTCACTGGTGGGCGGAAAAGAGCAGGACAAAAGCACTGCAAAGTGTTGTCCAGTTCATGGTAAGGATGGTAGGTTTGTCCKGAGCACTGAGGAGAAAATCCTTATTTCATGGGGAATTGTTACACATTAAAATATCTTGTGTGCATGTTAATGGGCTACAATAACGAGCTCGTGCTTTATGAGGAGTCTGCAAACATCTTGGAACTTGCTGCTGTGAGGGAGTAAATACTCGAGGTGGTAAATACTGATTAATTGGAATGTCTTGGCCCTTGTAGTGCGGTGGTGTAGCCAGACTGAAAAAAGGTAACTGCCTGATCCAGGTGTCTGAAAGGCAGGGGGATGCTCTACTCCTGGCTGGAAAATGCAGGTGAGTGTGGGAGCTGCAGCAATYGAGTTTATTGTGACAGCCCTAGCAGGTGATTCCCTAAGGATAACATGGGATGATGAATCTTGAAACTGAAGGTGTTCGTTAACAAAAGTCAAGGGTGAAATAATATATTTAGAGACTGGGTTGTGTCATCAAGTTGGTGTGAGCATATGCAGGGAGSAGGGCAGAGAATTCCTGTGCTTCTGGGAAAGAAGGGAAGAGAGGCAAATTTCTTTGTGGCTTTCTCATGTCTCCTGTATCCARCCAGTAAACGAAGGATGTCCTGGGTTGTGTGTTACAGCATTTCTTGTTGTACTTCTGGGTCCAGTAAATCTTTCTACCCCGCTTTTGTGCCCTGCCAAACACAGCAGGGACTCTGCTCAGCTGSAACACTGCTCCTGTGAAAAATTCAACAGTGAATAACAAAAGTGGGAGCAGCAGTGAGGTCACGTGAAGGACGAACSATGCCATTATTGACCAACGGTGCCGTGGTGCCAAGGTCCTCATCGACAGCTCTAATCCCAGGGTGTGCTCTGAGCCAGATCTGCTGACTTCAGGAGCTGGAGTCAGTCAATACCATTGAATTCTCCTTCTCTTTGCATATCTTAAGGAGAGTGTAGGAAGTCTCAGGCTGACAGCTGTGCATTCTGCACGAGGCCACGGGCTGCAAAGGCTTCCCCCAGGATATAATTTGGCCTGTGCAAYGTTTATTACACTGGTGTGGTGTGCAGCAGGCTCAGCATTGACCTTCAGAGCWCTTTGGCTTTGTGGGCCTGGTGGCTGGAGGAGTGACTGCAGGAGTCAAGGATTTCAGGTTTGGAGTCCTTTTTAGGGTGCAAGACTGTGATTAAAGCAAGAAGTGTGAATTTAGGTCAGTAGGAGATAGCTGAGGGAAGGACTGTTCTTGGCAGGGATTGGAATAGAGAAAATGCTGGAAGCACTCTGTGATTGCCGTGGAACAGAATAGGAAAATAACCTGTTTGAAGGGACTCCTTAACAAGCCCAGTTTATGCAAGGCTCTCCYCATGACACCAGATATCTAAACAACTGGGTTGGGTCTAGAATCTAAAAATATTTTCGGGAGGCTCATCTTCAAACATCTCCTGAGGCTTCCTGGCTTGGCAGCAAAGCCAAGTTCTGCAGGAGTTGATGTCTCAGGCCCCTTCCTGTGAGGATGTGGCATCATTCACATGAGCAGGAGCGTGGGTCTGGTGCTTCCTGTGCTCCACACAGGCTCATGTGCTCTTTGCTCACAGCTGCAGGGAGGAAAGGCTGAGGGAGAGCAGTTTCGTGTGGCAGGGAGGGTTTGTGCTGCCTGTACCTCCTCAGGAGTTTTGGGATGTGAGAGGGTGGAATTCCTGCTTCTTGYTGCTGTTCTTCTCAGAAGATGAGGAGATTGTGCTCTTGTCAGCTTCTTAAAAACTCAGAGAACGTGGTAAATAAACACCTGAGCTGGGGGAGGTCACAGGTCTGTCCTGTCTCCATGGCCAGCAGGAATGTCCTTCAACTCCCAGCAGTTTATTCAGCYCTTCCTTGAACCTCTGTGCTTTCAGCCTCTGTCCTGGCATTTCAGAGTTGAACTCTGTGCGATGAACCACTTCCTTTTGGGGACTGCACCTACTGCCAGCTCGTTTACTGTCATAAACTCCTGTTTGGGGAATTGTTRTTTGCATGTTCACCAATGCCACACTGGTGAAATTCTGTAAATCCCTACTGTGTCATATCAGAGGCCTATTTTCCGGATTAAAATGTCCTAATTGATTCTACAGTCTTGACACAGATGCATCGTGTCTTTGACCATCCTCACTATTCACTATATTATAAATTTTGGCCATTTTTTCTCCTCTTGAATGTTCTTACTAAAAGCTTTGGGTTTCTGAGATCCTGTCCTTTTGCTGCAGTTCTCTGTATGTTTAGCCGTGGAAAAGACACCAGGAATTTTGATGCTCCATGTGATAATAAACCACAGCTTTTTTTTTTTTTCTTTTTTTAAAGCAGAGGTTTATGTGTCTAATCTAAAAACTCTATCAGAAAAGCTATGAATAAACCTGATGGCATTCCAGTGCTCTGAGTCACTAGAACAATACAGTGTTAACAAGGAGCCCTGGCAGAGCTGTGTGGCTTTGTGTAAAGCTCTCAGCCAGGATATGGGATGTATCTTTTTATCCTGCAGCAATTTTGTGAAACTAAAATCTGCTGCAATTTCTAAATGAGGACAAGAAACACTCTGGATGTTAACCAACAGAGAGGGGGAGAAGGTTTAAGAAATTATATCAAAACAGAATTATTCTTATTTAGATAAATATAAATCAGTGTCATCAAACAAGTTCTGGTTCTGCAAGGGCAAAGCCTGGCTTTGCATCCCCTGTGCTCTGCATAAGTGGTATTTTACTTTATTAGTGCTGTGAATTCTGAAAGGTAGAACTGGAGAATGACGTGATGAAAGTGTTAACACCAGGCCTGCAGTGAAGGGCTGCAGACTGACATGCCTGGGGCTGTGACAATCTGTGGTTTTGTCTATCGGCCCTGACTCAGATCTGTGGGTTTTTGTGCTGCCCTAAGGTGAGTCGGGGCTCCCACAGGGCTGATTAAAGCCCTGCCCTGTGGGCAGTTTCTCAAAACTCAGGCCTGCCTTCAGCTGAGGAGTGCTTGGATGTTTTCCTCAGCRCTGAATCACAGCTCCATGGATCATCCAGAGCCGTTTTTCTCCGTGTTGAGGTTTATCTTCCACGCCTCCAGTGCTATTTCCACTGCTGTGCTTTTCTTCTTTCCCCTCTGCTGCCTTCCTGCCTGTAAACCCAAAGACTCTCTGTGCTCCCCTGGTGGCTCTGTTGGGAAACCAAAGGATCAAATCCTTGTTGCAGTTTTGTTCCAAAGCAGCCGGTTTGTGCAGCTTAATCTGTTCATTGCACAAATTTATCCACACACACTGGCAAAAAAACCCCAGCTCCCCAAAGCCTCACTGGCCTGCCAAGCTGTCACCCACTCCTGGGGTGTCCTCTTGAATCCAGAAATGATAGGTTGATTTTGAACCCTCAGGGTGTCCCAGCCCTTGCTTGTTGGTAAAGGCTGGAGGATTTTTATTCTTCCCTTGCCTTCATTCATATATATATATATATATATATATATATAAACTGTAAATTTTTGTATTTATGGCTCTTTCTCATTCTTCTTTTTACTCTTGTGATTGTGAAGCTGCACGCAGCCAGCCCACAGCCAGCCCACTATAACAATTTCAGCTGTAGCTTTAGTAAGATAGTAAATTGAGAGTAATTTTTAATCTGCTTGGGAAAAGAACAGCTAAATTGGCTGTTTCTCCTGGTGGTTCCAAGCATTATTTTTGGCTTCAGAGAGTGTAAATGCTCCAGACATTGATCTCYCTGAATGAGGGATCAGCTCTTCCTGGACAGCACTGGAGCACTGCATCTATTTATTTATATTTTACTCTTTTTTTTTTTTTAGTCCATTGGCTGAATAATACAGCCAGTGTGGAAAAGGCTTGAAAAATGCTGGGTTGTGTGGTGGAATTTTGCTCTGCCCAGGTAAATCTCTTGTGGTGAGAGACTCCATGGAGGGGAAACCTTGGAATGGRATGAGGGAAAGCTTGGAGCTCTCACTGGGGTCCCTGCTGGGATCCAGCCACGCTGGGGAAATGGAACTGGGAGAATCCAGCTCGTGCCATCACCCAGGGCATTTTTCCATTTAATGCAGCCATTGAAACTGGGAGCAGAGGCTGGGTGGGACAATGTGTAATGGGGCAGCTGGAACAGGCTCCCTTTGTGGCACATCACAAAGCCAGCAGTATGTGCTGGAGTGCTCCTGCTTGCTGAGCCTGGAGTGTCAGCTTGGGTTCTGTTCTCCTCCCTTCCCACCAGGAACTGCTCGGGATTTGGGCAGAACAAATCACTGTTTGTGTGTTTATTTCTCTGCTGCTCCCAGTTCTTGGATCACACGGGGGATTAGAGGGAAAGAGCTGAGTGAGGTGAAAACTGTCAGGATGATGTGAGATCCTCCGTGGTGTGTTCATGCAGGGCTGAAATTCTCCGTGCCTCATTTTGCTCCACAGAACTCCCTGACAGGAGGTTCTAGGGAGGTGGAGGCCAGGATTTCTTCCAAGGAACAAGGGATAGGATGAGAGAAAACGGCCTCAAGTTGTGCTAGGAG